ACATCGCACACTCATTAAAGCCAGGCCGGCTCTGAGAGCAACTGTCATTGGCTCATGCCCGATTCCCATCGAGGGGCATCTTCACACATTCCCGGGTCATCTCCCCTCAGCTTTAGTGAGTCAACAGCTTGGATTTTAGTTGGGCACTGCAGTCACAACTCCCCAGCTCAAGTGGTGTGGCGCTTACTTGACATCATCAAAGCACGAGTTCCACATACGGGCAACATTTATTGAAACCGCTGGCACCTTATCTATGGGATGATCATATGCAGATACTCATTGATTAATGCAATAAATGAACAGGCATAGAAATCCCTGGCTATTTTAGAAGAATTTACTTAAAGGGTGGGGGCACTTAGTGAAATGGTAGAAGGTGTTGTCATGCTAGCTACTAGCTAGTAAGCCAACGACTGCTGCTAGTTCGAATAAAGTTGGTTTCAGTGGAAAACACGGTTTTGAACGTGAACCAATCGGGAAATCACAGAATAGGATTATGGTAGGAGTTCTAATGACTACCATAAATCATCTACGATGCCACCCCAACCGCTCCTTAATTGACACACTTTTGTCTGATGCACACTAAATTAGCAAAGCCATGCCGGTCCCATAAAATAAACACATCATAGCTTTGACACTTGACTAATATGCTTTTTTTTTTCTTTTGGGAAGTTACAGTCTCATTCGATGTTGCTCAATCAACACCAGGCTTACTCTGGGTTAGATCATCAGCATGATTGATTTTCTGGCTCGGTCTGGTCACCGGGAAGTTGGAGGAAACGTAGCGTGCTTCCAAGAAGGACAGCAGCTTGGCCGGACGCTGACGAAGGGTCTTGGACGAGCCTTCCGCGAGGTTGCGCGCCCCACCGCATGGAGTGCTCTGACAGGGTGACCCTGCGTAAACTGGCAACCGCACACCGTCTGCTTGGCATATTTAGCCATTTAGCGGGGGCTCTTGCGGAGATCAAACGGGTTCACGTCGGCCCTCTCGGCGAGCGGGGAGAAAAGGACATCAAAAAGGTGTTAATTTCACTTCCCCACTTTTGATTAAGTCAAGCATGAAAAGAAATGTAATACTCTCAAGTGGCAAGGGTTTACACTATTGATGCTGTTACTTCTGCTTCAGGAGGCCCAATCAGCCGGCGGGGAGCTGAGTAAACTCGGCCCTGAGTTTTAGGAGAGGCCAGATGGAAGGCTTTTGCTGTGCCTGAAAAGACAGCTTAAGAGCTCGCCTCCTCAATCCCACTCAATACTGACTGTGTGAAATCCTGGCCTCGGCCAATAGCACCCACCCCCCTCCTACTCCAGCCGTCTTCTCAAAAGCTGGTGGCTATCACCATATGGGCTTGTTTAAAAACTCCCACAGGCTGGTACAAAGCACAACAAGACCGTTTTCATAATATCAAGTACCCCCCCAAAAAAAGCAGCACCCAGTGACTCTTTCCCTGCTTTGTCATTTGAAAAGGTTGCACGTTCAGAATAACAGTGCACATAGAATGCGTCTGCGCTGGCAGACGTTTTTTTTTTCTGGTGAGACAATTAACGCGAGTCAGCCAGCGCAAGCCCAATTTCATATGTTGCAAAACCAACATGATTTCCAACCGCCGGTTTGGAGCAAACAGGCACACACAAGAAGTGTCAGCTGGGTTGCACCTTCCCACTACACTGCGGAGGGTGCATGGCGTGGAATGGAATGGCTTTTTTTTTTTTTTTTTTTTTGTATAGACTTAATAGAATCTTTAACCGCTGCGACAATCCACTCCCGTGGAGTTGCATTAAGTAGATATTGTAAAGGGACAATGTCCTAAATAGCTCAACATCAACCTCATTAGGCATGCAGGCAGGGCCCGGGCCATTTCATGGTGGAAAGCTATTGTCAAGGCTCACCCCAGGTGAGCATTAAATTGCAAATGATACCCTGAAATGCACAGAGAGGAGTGAGTGAGGGTGTGAGTGACTATTGCAAACACTCACAGAAGATTGTTCTCAGGACGAGACAATGAAAGGGCTGTTGGTGAAGCTGCTGCGACCGTAAAAAATCCAATACATCACCAGCGTTACGGGCAGGAAATTCCACTAGCTCGCCGAGTGTCTTATTTGTAAGCAAGGCCGACGGAGGCAAAAAAAAAAAAGTAAATAAAATAGAGTGAAAGACTGATGGCAATTATTCGTGCCCATCAACGACTCTACTACACTCAAGTGGGGCGAAGATTAAGACACATGGGCGGAAATAAGGTTGGGATTGATTCTGAAGAAGAAGTAGCGGTTTGTAGTTTCAAAGAACTCTTACAAACTTTTCAACAAAATCAATCTTCCATTGAATCACTAGCCATGTGGAAAGATCCTTTGCTTTATGGGGTTTGGTAAAGCTCTCGCTTAAGAATGAAGGTAGTGGGAGAATCCATCCATCCATCCATATTTTTTTGTAGCACTTATCCTGATTCAGGTCACTGGTGAACTGGAGCATATTCCATCTGACACTGGTCGAGACATCCTGAAGTGGTCAGTAGTCATTTGCAAGGCACTGGACAAATAACCCATTACTTGTCTGAGGAACGTTTGGGGCTCACCCGAGTAAATCCACATTAGTATCGGGAGAGCATGCAAACTGCCCAGAGCCGAAATTTGAGGCATGAACCTCAGAACTGTTGAGGCAAACATGATCACCACTAGACTGTCCGTCATGCCAGCAGAACTACTCATAGCTGCTAACTTCAATATTAATCATAATGCCATGTTGAGACTTGTCGGGCTGCATTAAAAAAAAAAAAAAAATTGGGTTGACTTCCGTTTTAATGCCGTATCCCACTGAGCAGCGAATGTTTGCGAGTGTTTGCAGATGTAGAGAATGTTGATTTTTCTTCAGAGTTCAAGGTCGTAAAATGTCGCAAAGGTGTTCGCCAGACATTCGCAACACTTTTAATGATCGCAAATAGTTTTCTCGTCGCCAAGAAAATTTGAAGACGTTCGAAGCCAAACAAAAAAAAAAATACTGTTTATATAAATATCAACTTTTGCTAGCTTTGCAAACATTTGCAAAACTCAGTGGGATACGGGCTTTGGATTAATTGATGAGTGTAAATTGTCCATCGGATTGATCCCTTTATACCTTGTCAGTGACGATAAGTCTAGGGCAGAGGTGCCAAAATAATTTTTGCATTTTAGCTACCGTTTCACTAGGAGGGCTGTTATGACTGAAACTATATAAAGAAATGAAGAATAACTGTTGATTCAACAATTGTTTAAGTTACGATCATGAGGGGTTTGGTCACAAGAAAATGCTTTGAATACATCTCTTAGTAATTACATATGAGAATTTAAAATTTTGGTCGACATTTTCGGAAGGATCATTAAAGTTGAAATTTTTGAGCTGCTTTCGCGGGCCACATTAAAATAATGTGGCAGGCCAGATCTGGTCCTCTGGTCGAGGGTGTAAGCTGTTTCTCATCGGAAGTCAACTCGTTGCAGTTTCTCTGCACTCTTGCAAACTTTGCGACAAGATCCCTTGACGCTGGATCAATAGCCAAACACCTTCAAGATCTTTTGGATCACGGGGTTAATAAAGGGCTCTCTGAAAGGGGAAGCTCCACAGCGCTGTGGTGAGTGGCAATAAATGAGACGGCACCCTGTCAGCCTTCCTGATGAGGGATTGTCCCCTTTGCATATTTCTTGTCACCGGTGGCATAAGTGAAAGGACCCCGGAGGAAAGTGCAAGTCAGTTTAGTGAATTAAAAGTACGGAGGAGGGTGAGTGGACTTGCGGTGGATGACAAGCAAGGTGCTTCTCAGGCAGAGGACCATATGTCTTCACCAAGTGTCCGTGCAGGGGGGCGCCGATAAGCCCACCGCACAGCATGTTTTTGCTGGAACAGTCGGTCACACTAATCCATACTTGACACCTTATGACTTTAAGGCGGTATTGTTTGAGTGTGCCATCGAGTCATTACACAATGCTGAATTACTGCAACTGACCTGTGCAAGATGGGAGTTTTCATGACATTGCATAAAAACAATCGTTAAATTTTGCCAACATGGAAACATGCGCCCCATTCACATGAATAGTAGTTTGCAACGTTTGTGTGACAGCGCCTTTTTTTTCTGAACATTTTCAATTTCTACGAAATGTACTTGTACTTCTCCAATACATGTCAAATTGCATCCCAAAATAGTAAAAGAACAAAGCATTGGCAAATCTTACAGTTCAGTTTACTATTAATCCTGTACAGGCGAATAATCACAAGGCATAATCTGCTCCCAGGAGCAGCGTGGAATCCTGCCTTCAGGGCTGAATAAAAGGAAAAAAAAAAAGTGTTGCTCGTTGTTTCCGCTTGTGCTTTAGATTTAGAATTATCACGCAATTACAATATAATGACACACATTAATTGTTCCAGGGACCATGTTGAAGGCATTAATTAGCATGCTACTAGTGCCGTGTCCTTGCAACTGTGAGCATTTTGAGGGGGTGAAATTGAAGCTAATATGCTCCCGCAGATAAATATCCTCTGGCGAGTGGATGTAAATATCAAAAAACAAGGTCGAGCAGGTATTCATGACAACACCAGCAGGGCGGGAAGCAGCGCAGACATGCTGGGGGAATCCAGAGGCATTTCATGTGTGTGTGTTGCAAGTGAATGCATCTATTTAGTGGAAAAATGTCAATGTTTAGAAGGGATGAACAATCATGAACATCATTAGGAATCGATTGAATGTATGGCATTGACTGCAGATTGCTGCAATTAAGGAAAAGCATCAGTGGCGCTGTTAATTCATTCTTGACTAATTTTCTGCCAAAAGAAGACAACATTATGCCAATTATGAGAGGCTGAAGTTTCCAAAACCCCAAATTAACAGAAATGTGGCTGGATCCAAGCCACATTTTCAAAGCGTCTCTAAAATAATGGCATGCTGTTGCTAGCTCATACACCAAAACGTCAATGTTTGGCTAATAACAGAAGACCTTAGTCCTTCAGGGTCTGAGGACATGACAAAAGATGAAAATTAGAAAATAAGAGTGAAAATGGAATTTATTTGCCCAATGAGTCTGTCATGGCGGTTTAGTTAATTGCCCATCTTTTGTGAGAAGTGTGGATTATCGTTGAAGGCATATACAAACATTAATGCCGCTGTTCAAATCTCTGTTTGGTGACGCTTATTGGATTATCTAAAGAGGACCCCGCTCATCTCAAACGCAGCCACGGTGTTTAATCTATGAGCAAAGTCAGCAGTGAGCAATGAAAGTCACTCGGCTGTCCAGCAGAGAAGTCGAGCTTCGACACCTGGCCGAAAACTGCGTGGGGCCGGCAACACTGCATGTGTGCGTGGCCTTGGAAATTTCTGTCGGGAGAGGAGATGCAGTAATTTAATTTAGGGGACACAACACCATTACAGAATAGTTTAGGTTTCGCGTTATACAAGACTGTAAATGCTGTTTGCGATGGGGGGCAAAGTGCCTTTTGGAAAACAATAGTGACTCTCCATCCATTCATTTTTTTTTTTTTATATGCGCCAAAGTGCAAGTCCGAGCAGTCTTTGAGTGAGAGGCAAGATACACTAAGGAGACATTGACGGCCATTTGCAGAGAATACAGTGACTAACAACCATTCACAGCTACGGACAATTTAGTCTTCAATTAACCTCACATGCATATTTTGGGAATGGGAAAGGAAACCAGAATACCGGAAGAAAATTCACAAAAGTGAAGTTCCCTTGGAGATTCAAAGCCAGATCTGACAGTGAAGCAGTCGGTCAAATCCCAATTACACTGTTCTGCTGATAATGTTTCATGTTTTGTCTAAAAGCCAAAAACAGTAATCAGTAAAAATGGAGGACATTTTACCTTTTGGTGAGCCACCGCCTCAAAATATAGAGTGGCCAATCAGAGCGTTGCAAGTCTGACACTTTTCCTGCTGCAGGCTGTTGAATTGAATGATACACTCTGGGAAAAACGATGCAACCATACGCATAATCTTTTGAATATGAAAAATAAACAGGCGCACGTTTTTTACAGCTCCAAGACAAGAATATACGAAATGAATTACCATTAAATTGAGACTGCACTGGAAAAAATGTTTTCTTGAATTAACTCAATTTTAATTCGTCGAGGGTTTCCACAAAATCATGTAATCTGGATCCAAATTTTCTTTTGAAGTCTACTATACATGTACTTAAAAATGTAGCTAGATCCAAATGATTTTTTCTTGTGCAACTACTTGAGAAAAGAAAATTTAATAAATTTAACACACCCATTTTTTTCAGGTTATGCTGCAAGCATGTTCGCTATGACTGACTGGGAACCAGTCCAAGGCATATGGTCCACCTTTTGGTGGAAGTCAGCTGGGATAGGCTCCAGCTCCCCCCGACACTTAACAGGGGAGGCGGTTTAAAAAAATTGTTATGTAAAGCTTGTTAACTAAAATCCTACCGCTGTGCTACTAACATGAGGATGTTTCACTGGTACTCGTACGAGAATACTGGAAAAGCTAAGCTAACAAGATGCGGTCGACGTCACTAGAAAAAGACCAGTTACGCATTAGTTACAAATGTCTTCATCTACAATCTCATATAAGGGCCTATGCCTTGGTAGAGAAAAAAATATTTTTAGCATCAGTGCACAAATGTAGCTACATGATTTCCTTGGGCCTGGCAAATTACAGAACTGGCAGTTATTTTTTGCTGGTCCATTTGGCAGACAGTTTGATGTAAAGTGACATTTGAAGAGCTCTTTCCCAAAACACGACAAATCCAGTTCAAATGTTCTATTTACCCCCAAAAAATCATTTTTAATTTCATATAGCATGGTCAGACGTACATAAAACCCACCATTGCAATGCAGCTGGCATACATGTGTATTGCCACAAACGCACCAGAGGATGGCAGAGCGGTTGATGAGACTTAGCTCCTGATTCTGGCTGGTGGATTCAATGGGAGGGAACGGAATCGGAGGGGATAAGGAGGAACTGGGGGGCAATTGGAAAGAACGCGTTAAGCGCCACCAAGCAACTCTTTTTTTTTTCCTTTTTCAATTCCACACCACAGTTTAAATAATCCGGGACCCTACGCACGGTACAAAAGTAAGGCGAGCGGCAAATAAATCCAGCTTCGAGTGGCATCTGGCATCACATTTCAAAAGGTAGCTCAAAAGACACCAGCAGGATGTAAGTGACAGTTGTGACACTAATTCTAAGAATCTAAGACGCAGGGATATGTCTTTTTTTTTTCTTTTTTAAAGATTGCCCCCTCTGCTATCCCTTTCCATTCCTTCGTGATTTGATTAGACAACCATGCAGCAGGAATGGACAGGTATAAGGCAATAAAAGAAGGAATTTTGAGGAGATCTCGTCGCAAAATTTATCTCTATTAACCGGTGGAGAGAATTTTATAAATGAAATACTTTAATGTCATGTAGACCTATGAACTCAACAAATATGTGAACTTATACGACAAACATATGTATGTTTCATATAAGTGTGATATGCACACACAATTATTCAAATGCATTGGAATAAGTCCTCAATCTCCATTTTGATCTGACAATACAAGACTACCTCAAAAACGACTGGCTACATTCATGCTTTTAAATGACTGGTTGTAAACTCAGGCGCATCCAATGTCTTCAAAACATGTTTTTTGTATACTTTGAAATACGTTCCTGAACTCTCAAACATGCTTCACAGCCTGTAACAGTTTTATGTAAAATGACATTTGGAGAGACTGTCCCAGCACAGCACGAAATGTTTTGAGGAGAAAAAAAAAAAAGCGACATGGTCTGATTTACCACCCCCACCCCCCTACTTCATTGCTGCAGTCTAAAAACATTCAAGAGAAGTTAATAGATCCTTGAAGATTTTGCTTTCCTGGGGGTCATTCTCTTCATATGTAGTTGCATCAATGCCAAGTAAATTGCAGGCTTCTGGTCTACGGCCCCTTATGAGCATCGCGGTGCAACAAGGCGGTCTTCAATGCACGGGACTGATCTCTTGGCAGCCGACGATGCGGTGCGCTAATGAAGAGGTAATGAGCGGGCCCATCCCGGCAATCTGCAAACGGCGAGCCGCCGCGGTGCAAAAGTTTACGTTCCCAGGACATGGAGGAAGAGCACGGCGAACAAGCTGCAGCATGAAAGCCCGGGCCCGGGTCGGCCGCATAGATCTGCAGCCACAGAGGGGATTACAGACACCTACTTCCAGCTTAGGCAGGACTTTTTGAAGTTTGGGCAATCGGAGGGGAGGGATCCCTTTGGCAGAGTCCTGTTTGATTCTGGTGGGAGTCCGTCTCTAATCCCCCTTTCCCGTTCTCACCTTCTGCCTGATCCACTGCAGCCTCTCATCCCCGCGGTCCGGGATCATTATCCACCTTGGCCGAGGGGGGCTCCCCCCCTCATTAATTTCCCTAAGAAGATTACAGAGTGTGGGTTTGTTGTTGTTGTTTGAGCCATCTGATTTGCCTAAGCCCTTTGTTTTTTCATCTCGTTTACACTTTAATGCCCCCCGAATGAGTTTCAATGATGGAGGGGATCAACCTGACCCACTGAAAATGCAGCGAAGAACTTAAGAGAAACTCGCCCAAGGGGGGAGGAGGCGGTTGGATGAAAGAATGAGTACATCTCACTTCTCTCCATTGAAGATTTAGATGTTCAGAGGGAAAAGACAAGCGCTGATTTAACCTCGGCTCATCTCCTCGGGAGTGGAGGTAAACACTGGATGGGAGGCCGGATCACTCGCGATGCGTCCAGTACATCAGCCATTCCCGGTCTTTGTAAGCTACGCACTCCACTTCGGCATCCTGGCGGTTGGTGCACCACATCAAAAAAGCCAATATATCGCCATTAACGCCATCGTGTTCAATCAAACAGACACAATTGCAGTATCATTAAAAAAACGTAAATACACCGAAACAATAATGATTCCTCAGGACAGAAACAGTTCCGTAATGCAGTGTATGTAAAGTAAACAAACAACAGCGAACCATGGACAGTTCGTTAAAGTGCATTTAGTTGCCTCTCCCTGGTCTAGATTATGTTTACTACCGTGTATTTTTTTTAGGGATGAGGTGGAATTCGTGTTCCCGCAAAGCTGGGATCACATTTTTCAGTGGTGGCGGAGGACAGAAGAACCGACTCAGGTGGGTCTGGCAACGTCATTTTGAATGTTTCTCGACCCAGTCAGCTGTTTTTAGTCACGTGACGCAATAAAGAAACGACAACTCGAAGCTCTGCCAAAGGCTGCAGTGCCATCCAAAATTCAAGTCAAGTCAAGTACAACTTTATTGTCAAATGTGCTGCATGTGCAACATACAGCACAGATGAAATAAAAAAAATGTTACCAAGGTAAGAGAATTTCCATCTGTTTACAGTATAAAAAAAAAAAAAAAAAAGTCCTGAGCAAAATAAATCGAAATGATGTTTGCAGATTTTCTTTGAAACTGCGAACTTACTATTTGGTGGTCAAACTGCTGTTTCTGAGAACTACTTGACATCGGCGTTATATTTTCTTCACAAACACATATTTATGGAAAAAAAAAAGATAAATGATTGCTCATTTTGTTTTCCTATGATTCTCCATACTTTGTGCGGTAACAACTGCTTCCCATCTGTGTTGCAGGAAGTTGATCACCTTACTTAATGGGATCAGCCCTGTAACATCGGATCAATATATTGGAGGTTTCTCAGACCCCCTCAGGGTTGCATGCACCACAGTTTGATGATCCCCGCAGTGGATTAATTAGGACCCCAGGCCCACCATTACCCTGGTGGGGGTAAGCAGACCAGGCCAAATACCCTTCTGACAAATGAATCTTTGGAGTGATGTGGTCACTTGGCGGACCTGTCTGGACAAAGCCAGAGGGGGAATTAGTTTGGAAATGACCACTCGGTCGCTTCATCTTCTCCGTGCGACATCTCATTAGGAAGATGAACACAGCCTGACCCTGGCTCCGGCAAGGCTTGGCAGTCTGCTACGCCAGAGTTCTACTCACCCATCACACATCATTATCAGCTATTAGGCATGGTGAGCTGAGGGTTACATAATCAATCCGGCTTTTCATAAGGAAAGGACGTGGGGCTGGACTTCCGTGGCCAACCTATAACCATATTTCTGCTTTTAATTGAACCACATTTGCATGAATTTAGTGTAAGGGATGGGCTTTTTTTGACCAACTGTCATTGATTGAGTATGGGGAAAACTAACAAAGAACCCATGGAATGCATTCTACTCGACTGACTTCGGGTTATCGGGTGGGTACACCCAGTGTCATGTGAAGCAGGGGTGTGAGGGAGTTAGGTCCGGGGCATACAACTTAAATTAAGGTTGACTTCCAAACAAGGATCGATAGGCGTTCAAAGCGATAAGAAACGCTGTTCACAAATCTCCTGACTGGGTTCAGAAGGACATTTAGTATCCGCCCACATCGTTTCGACTCTCACTGATGATGAGTTTCTGACGGGCATCGGGACTTTCACGTTGCTTTGTACACCTTGGGATGATCTTTCATTCTTATGTACTGTGCAGTTAAAAAAATATATAAAATAATAATAAGCAGTTTGTAAAACACCTACACAGCACCATTATATATATCTCAATCCATCCATCCATCCAGTTTCCAATCCGCTTATCCTCACTCGGGCCGCGGGGGGTGCTGGAGCCTATCCCAGCCATCTTCGGGCAATAGGCGGGGGATACCCTGAACCAGTCAATGTTTCCATTTGTTTTTTGCCCCCCCCCCAAAAAAAAAAAAAAACATTCAAAGCCATAAAGGAGAGATCAAGGGGAAGTAAAAGTGAACCAGGTTGAACAAAATCCAGCACAACACGCCACCTTCCCATACCCTGTGAGTAAACTACCTACTCCCTATCTGCAGCAAACAATTCAATACAATTAATTTGACAAAGCCAAAATGTAATTGATTGATAAGGCTCCAAAAAAGCCAGCCATAACCTTGCTGGGCTTGCATTTGTCTGCTGGCGCAGACGGACAGTGCAGATGTCATCAGACCCATCAACAGCCCAGACATTATCAGGCGACAGGATCGGTCCATTTGGCCGCCATCATCTTTGAAAGTGGGGCTAAGCAGAGGAGGTGTGTGGGGATGGGTGGGGGGGCTTAGATGAACTAATGGGACAATCGTGTATAACCCATCACCATCTTGATCTCACAGGCGGGCCCGTGTGCACTTTCAGGTCATGCTCTTGACCTATAAACCCAACTGGCCAGTGGCATTTCATGACGAGTTCTTATTTGTTCCATCTACATTGCTGTATTGTCACATTTCTGAGTGACAAATCACAGCAAACACCTTATTTGAGCTGCTTGGATCCGGGAATGCATTATATACTGTATACTGTATTTTATCCAAGTATGCTCAATTCCAAAGTGGTTGACTTCTCAAATGTAAGCATATTTAGTTTCGACTGTACCATAAAATGAACAAACTGTGATTTATATATGGCTGCCTGTGGTCCTAATTAACTTATATACGGTCTTGGTTACATGATAAATGCTTTCAGTTGTGGGTGACGTGATGGTCATTGACTTCGATTCATTTGAATCCAGGAGATACTTTTAGCAGTGGGAAGTAGACTTCAGGGGAGGTGCAACTGCTTCAGAAAAGAAACGTATACGATCGGCATGTATTTGTACATTTCCTTCAGTTTTAGAGCCATTTTAAAAGTGACATTGTTCTCAAGATTGAAACGCCATTTTTGTTTCTGCAAATAGAATAGGAAAGCGTGGATAGTAGAAGGGAGGAGGCATCAAGGGAGGGATGAAAGTGAGGATAAACCACATCGGGCCTCAGTGACACAGGGGGGCTGCAGCCGGTGGCATCAGCTCCCCTGGTGGTGTCTCCCCTCCAATCCTGCAAATTTGATATGAACTTGATGGAAATTTAATAAGTGCTCACCGCTGCTCGGCCCGTTTGTAAAGGGCCCCTCTAAGCACTGGGCCAAGAAAGGCTTTCCTGACCCCAAGGGGCATCGTGCTGCTTGAGCCAATATAGAACGTGTACGTCCTGAGGGGGAATAATATGCGGGGCTGACCCACGTCTGTTATATTTCCCCCTCCCCTTTAACTCCTCTCTCTTCCTTCCCTTCAAAGGCACTGCTGCTCAGCTGCCACACTACACAGCTCTTTGAGTTAAAAGCACAGCCATTCCCATTTGAAATGGCTCCCTTTGCTCCCCCTCGTCAGCCTGGCTCACTCTGGATGCGCCACACTGAGCGGAGCTCTGCAATGACAACTAAATAGGCCCCCCCTAATACCACTTCATAAAGCTAAAGAAGTATCCTCCAGGCAAAAGCTGTAAATTAAAGGCATCGACGTTGTTGGCTGCACAAGTGAACCTTCCGCTCAAATGACAGCGGTGGCTTTAAGCGCACAGGCTAAATGATACTTTAAGCACGCGTGATTTATAGACATGGCTCCCCTGTGACAAAAAAAGGATCTCACGTTTATGACGACTAACGCACAGAACATGTTCGTGTAACTTCTATAAGTGGCATGGAGCCTGTCCTAACGCGAGTTTAGCAGGACGACTAATGTGCGTAATGCATTGCATCATCACTGAGTATACCCATGGCACTTGCTTCTGGAATTTAACAGTGGCGGGCAGTCCGTCAATACCGGCGGTTCATCACTGATGGACTCCCGTTTTGCTGAGGCCTAACAACTGACTGAACACTTTGAAACACTGATGGACCAAGAGTCGACCGAATCCATTTTTCAGCCGCCCCCCCCAACCGTCACGAACCTAAAAGGCATTCTTCCAAGCTTCCGTTAGTCCTCCTCCTCCAATGAAGTGTTGTCATGACAAGCATGCGAGGTTGAACCTTTCCTCAACAGGAGACCTCCTCCTTCTACAGCAGGAATCACAACACGCCTTAACAGCACGCGTCCATAATCCCTGGCATTTTGTCGGGTGTTGCTCCATAATGAGCAAATGCGGCCACGTTACTGCATGTTTTTTGGGAGTCAATATGCATGATCAAATCAATCCAAATGAAGATCTGCCCATCCCTCTAATTAGACGAGGTGACTGGAGATTGATTTTTAATTGCAAAAGTAATTACATGGAGCAGATAGCCAGTGACATTTGATTATCTCTGTGATTGATTAAAAGGCCCGGCTGCCGGGGCAGATCGTCAGCTGCCGGGATCTGAAGCAAAAAAAAAAAAAAAAAAAATGGCGGGGAGGGGAATTAAGAAAAAAAGTTGTCTCGCTTGTAATCACTAGTTTCGTGGCTGAAATTACAAAAGCCAAACATCCCCCCTTAGAGGAAAGGTGGCCATCTTTGAATCGCCATTAAAAAAGAAAGAAAAAAAATATTTCGGAACTGTTCACTTCCAGATTGCCTTTTCACCTCATCATAGCGAGAGAGCGCAAGAAAGGCAGCACGGGGAATAAAAAAAAAAAAAAAAAGTGAAGAAACACTCTTATCTTCTCGAGTGGCCCCTCATTCATCTTCATCTCTTGTCATCTCTTCGCAATGGCTGCCTGCGCTCGCTCATTGTTGTCCGTCCATCGCAGAGCAAACAGCTCGAGAGTGTCTTTTCTCCCTTAAATCCTCCCTCGGTGTTGTCTTTTCTCCTCTTCTTCGCCTGTCATTCATTTTTTGGAATCCCTTTTGCCAAATGAAGGATGACAAGGTAAATCCAAAAGGGGGGGTGAGGGAATACACCTCAACTGTTGATGGCGCTAAAAGCTGTTTATGTGGCAGTGATGGACAGGCTGACTGATAGCACTTGGGAATGAAATGGACATGTCACTTGATGCGCGCTAGTTAGTTTGCACGTGAGTGGACGAGTTCTTTAACAGAGTATTGCTGCACCAGCAATATGTACATTATAAGGGTACATATTATAAACGCTATGTCAGAGATGGATTCAAGTAAATCATGTCTTTTTTTCAACAACATATACATATTAGGGGTTGAATAAGTTTTTTTTTGTAGTCAACACTAAGGCGCTGGCAGTTGAATCGATTTCAATTAAGCGATAATGTCATTAATGTGTTTTTCAGTTGTCAACTCAATGCCTGCATCTCCAAACGAGCCCTCTCACTCACTCTCACCTCCCTTGCACAAACCACACTGCCAACTTGTTCATCCAATTATATTCAGACACCTGCTCATCCATTCTGATGACGACACCGTCATTGCCTTGCAGACTGTCGGAAATTGTCAAACGATAAAACCAGTTCACGGAACACCACTGCTGCGTTTGTACTCGGTCTACAGTGGTCATGCTTTGCTAGAATGTATTGAAGCAAACCTGCAGTTGTGTCATGTGGATTGCTGTAAAAACTTTTATATGGTCCATCTGTCTCTGAGACCATAAAGGAGTCTGTGATTTGTGACCGGATTCATCAGTCAGGGAGTAGGACGAGGGTTACGAGCATGTGTGCAGGCTAAGAGAGAAATGCTTTTTTTTTTCTTTTTTTTTTTTTTTTACAGAATCAAACTTTTTTTTTTTTCAAATACAGTAAAGAGGTTATTGATTGACCACCTCTTTGTTTCATCATTGAAGTACGAAGTAGACTCGACAGTATATTGTCCGTCTTTTCATTGTTCCAGGAGAGCCTTTGGTGAATTCTTTAAAGGCTGACATGATGATTTAAGGATGTTCGTCAGCTATCATTAGCGGATGCCTTTTTAAATGTGCGTGCATTTATTTATTATTTTTCAAGTGGCCCTGCTACCGGTTTCCCTTTTCAGTCAAATAATTCCACATGCTTGGGGCACCACTGCTAGTTTGATGCACAATCCCACCACCTGTCAATGTCAGCAAGTTATCCATCTTGTTAATGCCGAAACATGTTTTTGGTCATCAATTTATATAACTGACATGCAAGCAGAGGTGGGCAGTTTCCAACATTTTGCCACTCTATCATTTATCTGAGCACTAGTCCGTCATCATCTTTCCATCATTTTTTTCAAGCTCAACGAAACGATAATTGTCAGTCAACCAGTTTGTCATGTTATTTTAACTGCACTTACGTCATCTCTTCTGTCAGTAAATTAAAAAACAAAAAACAAAACAAAACCATCATAAATGGTAGATGGTGTGCAATATATATAGGTGAATCTAGATCATACGGGTGCATGACAAAAGATCACACACACACACACACACACACACACACACACACACACACACACACACACACACACACACACACACACTTATTTGCCAATCTATTAAACTACAGCAAGTACAGCAGGCGCATGCTCGTGGCTTGTAACCCCTAAAACACCCAAACGTTTTTTGCCTGACCTGAACCAGAATCCAGCTCTGCATTGTGTCCAAGGGTAAAACCCAATTCAAGTCTGATATTCCTGCTCCTGTTTATAAATTCTTGTTGTGATCATATGCTTCTTCTTCTTCTCATAGGCGGATTTATAGCTCTTTGATGGATACCGCCATCTACTGGACAGCACCGTGAAGAAACACGCGAGACAGGGGCGTGTTTCTGTCTGTCGTCAACAAAAGCGGGCGTCTGACGGAACTTCCGTCAGTACTGATGGAATACCCACCTCTGCATACAAGTGTTTTACGAAAAAAGTTTGGAAGTTACCAATGCTGTTTATTGTGTGCATTGGCCTGACAGTGAGTCCTACTGAAGTACAGGTACATCTGTTTTACTTTACATCGGTGGCTCACTTAATTTTCATCTTAATACTGTTTACATTTTTCCTTAAAGCATTGTCTGTCCAGTCAGTCATGTTTTTCTGTGACAGGTTATTCTTAACATAATTTTTCTCAACAGAGAATTGTGCTGTCACTTGCCTTCAAGTTGACCATGTCGAACAAGTTGTGATCACGCCTCAAAGTACCAAAGTTTTAGAGTTTCAAGAGCGCATGGAAGAGATGTTTACATTCGTTGTTGTAAGAAAAGTCACATGTTCGTGAGTCTCTTGCTTTGCTTTTTAACTGACTTCCTTCGGGGTGAATCACACACACACACACACACACACACACACACACACACACACACACACACACACACACACACACACACACACTAGTCACACATATGCACACACACACATACACACACAAACGTGTCCATCTGGAAGACATCATCATGGCCTGCGTGCCCACCAGTGGGGACAGGCGTGTGACAGGCATGCACACACCGTGGCCTTACCATGTGTCTTCCCGTCTTTCATCCCCCCCATGTTGACTTCGGGGAGGAGAACCACTGTGCTGA